GTGTGTGTGTGTGTGTGTGTGTGTGTGTGTGTGTGTGTGTGTGTGTGTGTGTGTGTTTGTGTGTGTATGTGTGTGTTTGTGTGTGTGTGTGTGTGTGTGTGTGTGTGTGTGTGTGTGTGTTTGTGTGCGAGTGCCCGGGAAAGGGGGCTGGACATTCACGAGGAGGGTATATTGTTCATGCGTGCACATGAATGTGAGTGGGTGGTGGGATGGAGTCGGAGGATAAGAGGATGATGGGTGAAAGAAGGCAGGGGAGGAAATGATCGGGGCTGGGTGGAAGACAGAATTCCAGCATTGGACAGGGCTCAGTAGATGAGGTGGCGGAAGCGCAGCCATGTCAATCAGGTGACGTCCATGACCAGTCAGCCAGCTGTGAACTGTACAATGGGTTGACATGAAGGAAAAGAAAAGAATGAACCGACGTAACCAAACAACATGTTTAGTGCAAAAGAAGAGTAAAAAAGCAAAGAAAAGAAAAGCGATAAAAACTATTAAAAAGAACAAAACCAGAAACTGTGAAGAAACGAAAACCGATTTCCTGTCATATGGAAAAACGTCAGACCACCAATGGGCCTCTCGCGCCTCAGTACATCTCCTTCTGATTTGTGCCGAATGAACCTGACAGACTTCCTGTGGAGGCCTCCAGCTGTGCAGACAGATGGTACCAATTGGCACCACCCCGTTCTTGTCTGCCAACTAGTAACGGCCCTCTTTTAGCCCCGCATTTCGCCTCCGCCCATTGCCATGAGCACGAATGAGCATCGGAAAAAAGAGGCTCAGACGTACTGGTGGTTTGAGCCTCTCAACAGAGACGCACACGAATGTGAATTGCAAAATAATAATTGAAAATATCATTTGCTGCAAAAGAGAAGCCATTTCCCCGGACAATGTGACTGAACAGTTCACACATATAACTGTTAGTAAACAGATCAAGGGTTCAAAACCTGATAGAAGCACGTGAATACAATAATGTTATGGCCTCAACTTCCCTAAAGGGCAATTCACTGTCAGCAATTTGCAGAGAAGCCTTGGTCAATTCAGTATTTAAAATGATTCTTGAGAAAGCTCAAATTCAGTTTTTTTCTGGATTTTTATTCGCTTCGTTTTCACATCAACTTCGTTATCGTTTCTCAGAGGAATTTCTTTCTTTCTTCTTCTTTTGTTGTTGAGAAAACTTGGCTCGGGATGCCACTTAACGGGATGATAGAAGCATACATCTTAAGTGAGTCCCCGTTGAAGGCTCCATCTCTATTGGTGGGGAGCTGCACCTGCTGGAAACCAGGTACAGCGTCTTTTTATGGTGCAAAGAAAAGGCTGAGTAGTTGTGAGTAAGGTAGTGTCTGTGAATGTTAGCTAAACCTTTTCTTGCTCTATGCACCTTCCCTTGGCATCAGAAGGCAAACTGCCTCCATGACCGGGTTTAAGGATTTGTACCCTGGTAACCTTTTTCTTGCTCTATGCACCTGCCCTCAGCATCAGAAAGCAAATGGCCTGGAGACGTGGGCGAACTCAAACGGCCTGGAGACGTGGGTTTAAGGATTTGTACCCTGGTCAAAAAGCTCTTCATGGAGACGTGGGTGAACTCATAACTGAACTTTTTCAAATGATCTTTAGGCATAATTGCAGTCAGATACATGTAGGGGAGTCCTAGTGTAACGATGATCTTAGGCGTAATTGCAGTCAGATGCATTCAAGGTGGCTTAGAAAGACATAGGTCACATAGCCCAATAAAAGCAGTCCACAAAAATTCAGCATGAAAGGAGAGTGCACACTTACCAGAAAAACGTTAGCCGTATGATGTTTGCTGTCTGCTGTGGAGAGCCTTGAGCTTGCGGCATCTGGAAAAAAAGAAACAGCAATGAGAAGAGGAGGAGAAGAGTAGCAAGACACACCAAGCAACAAGTTATATCCCAGTATTCTTTTTCCTTTTTTTTGGATCCTTTTTTTTCTCTCTTTTGAAGTTTTTTTCCTCGTTTTAGCTCTTTTTCGTTGAATAGAATGCTAGCTACAATGCTGCTACATGACATATCGTTTTTTTTTTTTTTTTTTTTTGAACAGTTGCAGTTTTATTATATAAAAATCCATGAGGCCGGGGCCGGGAATTCCTCAACATCTCAACCCGAACAGAGCTGGGGCCATTACCCAGATTCGGCACAAGCTGGAAATCGGGTCCAGCGTCCCTTTATCCGCAACTTCAACAAAAAGGGAAAATGGACTAAGAAATGGCAAACAGAAATAAAGGAACAGCCAGGGTACTGAACCCCGGGAGGTAAAACCAGACTCATTGTTTTTTTCTCTTTTTTCTTTCCCTGGCTACATGACGTATCATTTTTTATTTATTACAGATTTTGAATTTGTTAATGTTTATCTTGCCATGTCGTCAAGAAGAAGCCATAACAACCATCACAACCTACGAGAGGAGAAGCGCTGCATGCCTGGGTTGCATGTAGGGCACTAAGGGAGGCTATGCCGACAGGGAAAGACTGGAGGAGGTCCTGACGAACGACAGTCAATGTGAAGACGGAACAGCCCATGTTCATGCATCTTCCTGAATTACAAGTGGAGGTTTCCTTTGCCCCGCAATACCCTGTGCAAGGAAAATAAGCAACAGCGAGATGACAATCCCAGATCACACCATCACATTGCAAGTCAAATAGTCACACCGTGTCCAGATAGCAGCATTGCACCAATAATACACCAATGGAGTTTCGTAGCACTAAAAACCAATGTTTATGGAGAGCACACTCTCTCCTCTTCAACACAAGTATCCAGTTCCCTTACACTCACACTTGCCCAGCCTACTTCTACACAGCTACTACAGACTACAAAAAGACAATGCAACTGTTGACATCAGCAGCAGTCCGAAGTACTTGAAGATGCCGCCCATGCAGACCATCGCCAATACAAGGTACGTGCCCTCACATCATCATCATCATCATCCTTCACCTATCCCCTGACTTCACCCACACCTGTCCTCTCTGACACCCGAAGAACCACCCCTGCGCCTCACTCTGTCCAAGCCAAGCCCGCTATGGAGGCTGGCTATGGCACTGCCCTCAGCAGCGCCCTGTTCCCCTACACGACCGCACGTGTGTTGCCCCTTGCTCCTCTGCCGGCAGTCAGCCTGCGAGCTTTTGCTCCAGCAGCGCTGCTGCCCAGCCAGCAAGTGACGGAATGAGCTGCCTGGCCAGAGCTCTTTCCTTTATGGAAAAGAGCTGGCCAGCTCTCGCAGCCTGGCTGGGCTGGCCTGGGCCCAGCAGCTTCCGGAAGGCCCCAGGATGCTGTCTGGATGCAGCAGCTACTGGGCTGCTGGGCCTCGTTCGTTTGGGCGCCCAACTGTCTCTGTATGAGGCTGTGAATCACGCCCAGGGCCTGCATTCTTTGGAAAGGCCCGGTAGGCCGTGGAAATGTCTTCGGTACTCGGCCTGTGTTTCTTTCAACCAACTGGCGCGTCGCAACTGCCTGGACCCCAAATATGAAATTGACAGTCGAGGGCCTCTTGCAAAAAGCCAGGCCCGCCTTCACTTAGGGCGGGCACCTCCGCCTTCACTTAGGGCGGGCACCTCCGCCTTCACTTAGGGCGGGTAAGGCTGCAGACAGGGCCTCGTAGGCCTACCGAGGACACTGATCCTCGCACCTGGGTATCAGGGGACAATTTTGGGAAAGCAAGGTGTCCTTCAGCTCGGACCGCTCCAGTGGTTCTCGCATACACATAGGCAGCAGTGGAGGACGGCTTCGGTCAACGTCAGCACCGGCTGATAGGACCCACCATGCACGCAGGGGATCTTGGCGGCAGTAGCGGTGAGCATAACACCAGGACAGAAGAAACAACGCATGTCACCGAAAGTAGCTCAAGCAGCGACGACCTTACTTTTCTTTACTTACTCCTGTCCTACTTCTCAATTGTGCAAAAGTGACGCTGGACCCGTTTTCCAGCAGGTGTGGCTCCCCACCAATAGATTGGAGCAACTGGTTAAAAAAAAAAAAAAGCAGCGACGACATCGTGACAACTGGCCGTTCATAGCATCTACACCCGCGGAGGTGCTCCGCAACAAGCGTCAAACCCACGTTTCCTCAGGGGCCCGGGGCACATTTTGTGACCAGTGGAGGAAGTGGGATCCTCTCGCAAGGTCGGCACCACCCATCTTCACTTCTCTCCCCCCTCCCCCCCTTCACCCCACCTGCCCCTTCTCCCACCCCTATCCCCTATCCCACATCAGCAACTCTTTCCCAGCCCGCCTCTCGCCTCTCCCCTAGGGTACCCTCCCCGTCTCATCTGTTGTGCACACCCTCCCCAACCCTCCCAAATACTGCCCTGCTGCGCCAGTCCTTCTTCCCTCCCACCCACCATCGATCTTCTTACCACCTTCCAGCTCTTCCCCTATGTTTTGTCCTCCCTCTGAGACCACCCCCCCCGCCCCCCGCCCCCCACCCACCTCCCTTGCCGGTCAATTCCCGTCACACAAGTCGCGAGTGCGAAGGCTTCAGATGAAGCCCGGTATCAACTGGATTATCCAAATGTTTTACTGGTTAATGATATCACTACATGCAGGAGGGTTCCAAGGATGGTGTATCGACAGCTCTAGAGGGTGCATGGTACGAACGTCCCACGTAACACACATGCACAAAGTTTCATGATAATTTGCCACTGAAACTGAGCAGGACGGGTGTGCTCACTGCCGATTAACTACGGACACAAGTCGCAAGTGCAAAAGGGTCACGGGAAACCCTGTATCAATTGGATTATTCAAATGTTCTATTGGTTAATGATATCTCTGCAATGTCTGCATGCATGACGGTTGCAAGGACGCTGTATTCACAGCTCTAGAGCAGACACAGTACGAACACTCCACGTAACACACATGAGGGAATTTAGAGGAAAGTCGCCGTGACAGCTTGCCCCGGAAATGGAGCATGACTGGTTTACTTATCAAGCACCGTACCCTACGTATGCATGATGGCTGGCGGGCCCTCTGTATTTGAGACAACAGCCCTTACGAGGAATTGTTAGTGATCTGCCACGCACAAGCAACAGCAGACCTCTGAGGGCCTTGACTGGGAGGGGCTAGAAGGAAGACTTTAGTCGGGGGCCACTTTGGCTCCTCTCTCAGTCAATCCCTCCATCCGCTCAGCATTTTATTTTTATTCCATGCACTCAAAAACACAAACACAGAGACCATGGGTCGTGGAGATTATGAGAGAACTTAAAGAGACCAAGGAACCAACCATATCCCAAGCCACCCCAGCTTCGACCTCCACCTCGTGGGCTGACAAAGTCAAGCGGCCATACAGCGGCGAGATTTTATCGATCAAGTGAGGGGAGGATGGCGTGGCGAATCGAGATCGGAAAATCCCCCTGGATAATCTTCTTTTTTTCTTTTTTTTTTCCTAAAGCCCTTGAGGATACTAGGGATGCTGGTACAGGCAGCAAGTGCTTTTTTTCTCTCCCTTTTTCTCACCAACCTTGAATACCAACTGATTAGTAAGGGGGGGGGGGGGGGGGGGGAAGCACAGGGAGACGAGATCCATCCCCGACACGCTAGTAATTGTGTATTCTATGACGATGCCGTGCACAAGTCTACCAACAATAAGATCGGCTGGATCAGAAAGAGACTTGCCACCCTCAAAGGGGATGAGGAGGGGGCTTGTGACTACTTCCTGATACAGCCGCATGGTTATCCGCATGTTCGATGCAGGCAAACACTTGATGGACACATGGTGACATCTACAACGTGGTCGCTCAGGGGTCCGTATTTACCCCAACGACAGCAACGACCGGCAGAGGAACGTGACCAGCTGATGTCATATTACTGCTGTGTAGAATATATTGACATGTCCGAATTGAGATACAGGCAGCATTCACATAGGACCTCATTCAAAAGTATGGTGTTGTAGATTTTATTGATCCGCTGCGGGTTAGACAAGGAGCGACCTTTACCCTTGCAGGTCATTCAGGAAATAGCTCCGGAAAATGTCCAGATGGTCATTCTGGAGGACTTCGAGCGGTGCCAGAGGAACCAAGCCAAGGGAGGAACCAAGCCAAGGGAGTAGAGGAAGTTCTCATGGTTCCCGATCCGCAAAAGCCATTCATAGTGACCACTGACGCAAGCCAATACGGCATTGGCGCAGTGCTGGCTCAGCAGGATGGGAAAAAGTTGAGACCGATTGAGTACATGAGTAAGAAGATGCCATCAAAGAAGTTGACTAAGTCCACCTCTCATCGCCAGCTTGTACAACAATGCTATCCATAGTAGCACCGGCGTTAGTCCTAACCAGTTGCACTTGGGATGGAAGCCTAGATCAGCACTAGACTTCCTCCTACCAGAAAACCGATCTACTGCAACTCCAGTCACACTTGAATACGGTGTGCAATATGAGAAGTTGCTGCGCGAGACTGTTGAACATATGAAGAAAGCTCAGCAAGYCATGATTGCTTCTGAGAATCAACATCGCAGACAGTCCACATTTCAGGTGGGGGAACGTGTCTGGGTCAAGGCTAGTGAGTTAGGACAGGAGTTTGGAATATCWCGTAAACTAATGCCTCAATACTTTGGTCCCTAGGAAGTCTTGGATGTAGTGGGAGATGAAATGGATGGTCCTACCTACGTCATTCGTGTCCCTGGTCATCTACGCACTCACCCAGTTTTTCATGCCTCAAAGCTTGCACCTTTCGCTGAGACAKATCAATTCCCTTCCAGGAGATCGATGCTGCCCCCAACCATGGATGGTCAAGTTGACATCGACGACATTGTGGATCACAGGGACATGCCTGTTCCAAAGCCGCTGGGCCGAGGAAGACCTCCCAAGCCCAAGAGAGAGTACCGCGTCAGATTCAGGC